ACACACACACACACACACACACACACACACACACACACACACTGGGTGAGCAAGTCACCAGCTTTATCACAGTTTGATTTTATATAAATATGTTTGGATGACAAGTGTCATACAGTTTTCATTCAATTCAATTCAAAAGTCTGCGATCAATAGCTATGATGCGATATTCTCATTTAACACAATCATTTAGTAGAAATATGATATCGATCCACAGCTGTCACGATAATAATATGGATCAATATTTTCATTTTGCCTCAAAGTACATCATTGAATCATTAATCGTTTAATAAATATATCAGTGTGGATCAGTGTATGGTTACAGCCCTAGCAAACGTTGAGCTGATGATCATGAAAGTAAAACGCTGATGGAAGCCTCTTATCGTAGAGTAAATAAAGTCCATTTTGGCTTTTTATTTTTTTATTTTTGTCGTCAAGAGGAGGACCTGTCAGTGAAGAGTTGAATGCACGTTTACACTGAAAGCAAACAACTTAAGCACAGCATCATAAAAGGTGATTTTTGCCTCTTTTCTTCAAGTGTTCTTCACAGAATACAGTGGGCTGAACCCGCTGCTGGACCAGCTGCCGAGCTACCAGTCCCTCCTGTACCGCAGGAAGTCAGCCTCCAAACGAGGAGCCAGCACCAGAACCAGGCTCAGCTCCTCTGGCAGCGTGAAATGGACCGAGAGGAGCTTAAGACGAAACGAGGTGAAACAGACGGCGCTGCGGCCCATCAAGGAGCTGCCCATGTCCATGGCTGAGAAACGTAGAGAAAAGTGGGGAAACTTTTAGATCTTTTCTCTACATTAAACATGTCTAAATGTTTAAATCCACCTTCCCATTAATTAACCGCTTCCTGTTTATTAGAAATAAACGTGAGAGAAACAGTGAAAATCTGAGCAGCTGGGAGCAGTGGAGGCGAAACACTCGCATATATGTGAGGCGGATGAAAGAAACCAGTGAAATGTTGCTCAGCTCTCTSAAGCTCTGGAGTGGGGACATCCACCAGATAGAAGGTGGGGAAAAAACACTGAAGTGTTGTGTTTTTGCTCTTTTAGCCTTAAGGTTTTTTTATTGTTGTCTTGTTTTTGTTTGTTTATAGGGATGTTTGGAACTGGGATCCTGTCGTATTTCTCCTTTCTGCGCTTCCTGGTTGTGCTCAACCTGGCCATTTTTCTGCTCATGTTCACGTTTGTCATGCTCCCCATCGTCCTCGTCCCCTACACTTCAGCAGAAATCGTCTTCAACCGGAATGACGGTGAGCAGACGTTTGATTGCTTCGCTCCTGAACGGAAAGTAAAACTGAGACAGATTGGAAATGACAAGTTTGTCTGTGGGTTTAGGAGGCAACTGCAGCGACTATCCAAGCAGCACTCGCCGAGGTCTCGTCAACTTCCATGAGCACATTACAGACCTGCTTTCTGGTGAAGTACGTTCCTGTCCAGTTTATAAAATATATATATATTTATTTCCATAAGAGTCTGGATTAACCTTTTGTGTTTCATGTGCAGGGTTTCATGGAACRGACCTACCTTTTCTACGGTTTCTACAACGTGGATAAAATCCAGTTTTCACACTGCACATATAATTTAGCTTTGGCATACCTGCTGACAACCATAGCCTACCTCCTGTTCAGTCTTGTTGTGATTGTTAAAAGGTATAAAAAAGCTGGGATAATTGGACACATTTAAAGAGCAGTAGGTTTAAGTGTATGACTTTTAAAATTTATTTCTTTATTTTAGATCGGCCACAGGGTTCAAACGTAGCCTGATCCAGAATGAGGATTGCTTTCAGAGCTTTTGCAACAAGKTGTTTTCTGGCTGGGATTTCTGCATCACCGACAAGAGCACAGAGAAACTGAAGAAGAGCAGTCTGCTCTACGAACTCAGGGTTGGTTTGTTTKTTTTTTTCTCTCGGGCAGAATAAAGAACTAGTTTTTGCATGGTAATAATCATAAAATACTGATTAATTATTGTATTATTTTGTACAAGGCAGGTGATGATGTAATGCTCAGGTTTATCTGTTKGTGTCTCTGTTACTAAAATATGAATCACTGGATGAAACTTATATTGAATTTTCATCTACAGCTGATTAACTTTTGGTTAGAGGTGCAACAATACATGTATCTGTAACAAATTGTTAAATACACACACTGTATGTAACAATACAGATTGTTTTCTCTGTGTTAAAGGATCAGTGGATCTGTGTTCGACTACTCCACCCGGGCTGCTTTTTCGAGCACAGATCCACTGAGAAACTTGCTGTTTCAGCAACGTTTCATTTAAAAACTGGACTTTTCAGGTTAAACAAATGTTCATAATTAATGTCAATAAATTACAAGTTAAGAAGTGCATAGAAATTTATCTTTTTTGGATCGAAAAAATATTGAACTGTGACAGTAAAGCAGTGGTTACCAAACATTTCAGCTTTACACCCCCCCGTGACCCCAACTATTTATCGTTTGATAAATATTGGTATCAGATCAAATGAACAAGTGCATAGTAATAATATTTATTATCCTTCTTTGATTCATTTTAACTACACTAACCACACCCTTTTGTAACAACTAAGGCAAAAATAATTGTTAGAAATCATTTTTAAATGTAGTTAATTCTGAAGAATTTTTCACTTTGATGTTTTGGAGCCCCATTACGAGTTCCAACCCCATCTTTGGAAACCACTGGACTAAAGTATTGAAATGAACTAAATCATGAATTTTCTGTGTCGTTGCACCCCTACTTTTGGTATCAACCTGACCACCCACGGCCAACTGATTGTAAATAAATAAATAAATAAATAAATAAATA